TTACAGAATATCACATACGAGATTATTTTGACTCTTAAGCAAGTTGTAGCTAAATGTTATTCAAGATCAGAAACTTCCCTTACTGATGATGATATTTCACTACCACTACTAATAAAACTAGTTAGTTGGTCTATTAACATCTAATTGTCAAATGAAAACTATGCCATAGGTAGGATAGAGTTTGAAGCCGTAGGAGCCTTAGCTTGAGAACTTCCACTATGTCTAGCTGCATACTTTTCATATAATTTTTTAAAATAATATTTGATTGTGTCATGGTAAGTAAGGACAGTTATAGGATCACCAGCATGTTGGCCTCTTTGTTTTGATGATGTTTAACAAATAATTTACTACTAACATTGTTTGTCTAGTGTTTGTGGTTTTCTATTTATTATAGACAAACAACGTATTGGAGGATGGATGGAATTGCGCATTCACGATCATATCCAATGGAGGTTGACGGAATTGTGGAGTGAAGCCTACGTAATTCAAAGTTAAAGATTCAAGTTCAAGCTTCATCCATAAGTGTACCAAGATAGAGCTTCGCTGAAGATCACAAGCTTGGGTAAATTTAGTTTTAGGTTTTATATTATGTGTGTTAGTACTTTAAGCTCAATCATATACACACATACACGTTTTGGTTTTGTATATATATAGTTTATATATATGTATATGTTTTGGTTTGATAGTTTTCAAGTTTTAATATGAAATAGTTGAATATAATTAGAAAACATATTTTTGTTTCATACTTACATGCATATATATGATTTCATCAATATCAATTTTATTTAGTTCAATGAAATCATGTTTTAGTGCATTATATGTGTATTTTGATAAAATACTATATTCATTGTTTATAGACTTCATAACAATAGTTTATATCTTTCTTCAAGTCTATAAAATTATTTTGTATTGTTTCAAAATATGATTAAGCTAAAATATCAAAACTCATATGTTCACATTTTTATGTTTTGGACTATTTTGCAAAATAATGATATTTTTTATTTGGAAGGTCCTTTTTGAAAACCAGTTTTTGTAGCATGTGTATTATCATGTCTATAATTATTTTCCAAAATTTTATATTTTTTTAATTTATTTGATATTTTTAAACAAGGTTTTAAAATCAGAAAAACAACTTTCAACCTGTTAATTCATGTATCAGTTTGCGGTCGACCGCCACGGTCGACCGCCCTTGAGTCCAGAGACTCAGCATGATTTTTAGAGGCTCCCGGTCGATCGTGACGATCGACCCTATGTAGTCCAGAGAATTTCGCGGTCGACCATCACGGTCGACCGTATGTTTTTCTAAGCCCCTGTTTTGCCTTTTTGCTGCTCGCGGTCGACCGTGAGTTTTCCATGGTCGACCGCCGAACTATCCATTGAACTCCAACGGCTATTTTCTGAGCTGTTTTCTGGGGGCTTTGTGGTCATTTTGATTGGGTTTTTGCTGATGTTTTGAGAGGGTATAAATACCCCATTGCTCTCATCTTTCAGCAACAACTAAGAGAGTGTTTTTAAAGAAGTTTGAAAGTGTTTTAACAAGGGTTTTAGTTTGGTTTAAGAGTGTTTAAGAAGCTTTTAAGCAATTAAGAGTTTTGGGTTTGTGAAATCAATTTCACAAGAGCTTGAGGAGATCCTATTGGTGCTTGAGCATCCAAGCATCCTCCTTCAATCTCTTGATCTATTGAGAAGTTTTCTAACTCTATTTCTAGCTCTTTTATATATATTGATTATCATTGTTATTAAGCTAGAACTATATTGAGTTTAGTTTTAATTTATTTCTCTTTGCTTACACACACACAATCATTGAGCTTATTGTATTTACATTCATAGTATAATTGGGTTGTGGGATTGTGTAACCTAGAGAGTGAGCTAGCTTATTGTATTTACATTCATAGTATAATTGGGTTGTGGGATTGTGTAACCTAGAGAGTGAGCTTACAATTCGTTCTCATCCATTGTAGAGAACAAGAGAGTGAGCTTACAATTCGTTCTCATCCATTGTAGAGAACAAACACTTTGTATTGAGCCTAATTGTGAAATTCACTTTCTTTGTAATACACTTGTACACCGAGAGAAGTGTGTGGTGTAAGTCGGGGATCGTCCCAAGAGGAGTGACGTCGGTTGACGAACCTAAGGAGAGGTTGTATTCAAGCACTTGAGAGAGACACGTCTAGGTCCAACACTTAAGAGGGTGTAGAATGAGATTGCAAGAGTGTTGATTGTAAAGTTTTCGGTTAGCTAGAAAACCGAGTGTGAGGTGTAAAACGTTTTTCAGGTAAGCGTAGAAAATCCGGTTGTGATAGTGGATTTCTCCCCGTGAGTGGGGAGCAGAGAAGTAGGACGGAAGGTCCGAACTCCATGATCATATTGTGTGTTTGCATTGTTTATTTGCACACTATCACTCTTATTTTGTTTATGTTTATTTCACCCTTGTGTTAATTTGTATATCCTTGCATATATCTTATAGTATATCTCATTGCTAGGATATATCTCTTTGTTCATATTGCTTATCCTAGCTCATATATCTTGTTGTATTTCATACTTGCTAGGGATAACTTGTTATTAGTTTTAATTGGCATAAAATCGGATTAGATTAGCATAAGACCCTAATCACCCCCCCCCCTCTCTAGGGTCTAACACAACATCATTTTTACCTATTTCCGTGGTGCCATATAAAGAATACAATAAATATTAGAGCCCAACATCCTTCAAACATGAATCAATAAGAATGCTGAAACTAAAAATAATAGGAATGTGTAAAAAATACTTATTAAATTTTATTTCTATTTGTGTAATTATATTTTTAAAAAATGATATGATTGTGACAAGTATCAAAAAAATTTAAAATTTAAAACTTGTAAAGCAGTTTGAGTTACAGTTGGGTATAACAAGTAGATAAAAGGAGACTAGATTTTTAAAAAATTTGTAGTGTATTTTTTATGAACGTTATAGTAGACCATTTAGTTATTCCATATGAGGAAGAACTAGGACCAAAACTAGAAGCATAGAAAAACCATTTACAATTTTTTTATACTCTATTGCTACATTTAACATTAAATGAGTGTAATTCTACCTATGATCAACATTTCATGGAATTTTTTATCCCTCATAGTTATTTTTCCTTCTACAAAATTATTTCCCTTTTTTTAAGTCATTTTTTAGATTCATTGAAAAAATAAATAGTATTCCTAATTCTTTCTATCAGTGATCTAATTTCATTTAATGCACTTTACACAATTATATTTAATATATGATATATGTATCTAATATAAATATCACCATCACATGGTAATCACAAAGATGATTTGATATGATTTACTACCACATTATTATTACTTGCATTATTCTGTGAAAGATTAAAAATTCTTTTAGACATTTCTAATTTTGTTAGTTCTTCCATTATTAAATTTATAACATTTACTCCTATGTGTAATTCTTCAAATGAAATAAAAAAACAAATGTGTGTTGTGATACATATATAGCCAGTTTGCGCTTTAGATGTCCAAATATTAAAAGTCAGTGAAAAATATATACAATTTACATTTTGAAATTAAGCAATTAATTTTGTTTTTTCCTCTCCATAATATTTCATAATATCAAGTTGAAAAGTAGGTTGATCACCGTCCATAATTATATCTTCAAAATCATCATCTTCTACCATTTTAAGATGAATGTTTTTAATGAACAACAAATCTGATGGTGTATTTCCTTGCTTGAATTGCATCGCAAGTCCATATACAAATATACTGATGCCACTCGAGGAAGATGGTTGAGAGAGAAGATATTGGCGGATACCAGGTTGAGACGATCATTGCCCTCTGTTGTGGCTTGCTAAATATCGTTTGAGGTTGTTAGTCCCCAAGTTGTGATGAGCACTAAAGACTTTGCTGTAAATACCACATTTCACCTTTTGGTCAAGAATACGACAATGACTATCTTTTTATTTTAATCTTCTGGAATAACTCCTACACACTCGATCTCAGCCTTTTTAGATGTTGGTGTTGGATCTTTGGGTTCGGGTCCTGGTGGATCAGCAGTTTTAGTAGTAGGGGGACTAATGTCGGGAGTTAAGGTTGCATTCTCATCCTCGAAGATTTCATAATGGATAAGGAAGCCATTGGAGATTTGAAATTAAGAGAATTTGAGGATTAGTAGAGAGTATTAAAGAATATAAGAGTAAACAGAGAGCATTAAGAAAGAAGAGAGTGATTTTGGGATGAGAAAATGAATGGAATCCCCCCACCCAAAAAAAAAAAACACTATGGAGGTAACCTCAAGTCAAATGAGCAAAATACCCTAAAAATTTGCCCTTTTTTAATTGTTTTAGAGTATTTTGGTTAAAATACCCAAAGAAATAGTCATTTGATCTGTCCGAACCGAGCCAAGTTGGGTTGCTTGGTCCTCACTGGCTAGAAACCGAGTCGTTGGTCGATCCAGGTTTTGACCTAACCCGGTCCCCCAACTGCTAGATTTCAAGCCATTGTGGCGAGTTGGGCCCTGGCCGGCCTAGGTTCCGACCCGATCCTACCCAGATTTATCTGGACCTACCCAAGACTTTATGGTTGGTGCCTGCCTTGTCTCGGATCGGGCCCAACACCAATAAGGGTGCCTGGATCTGGCCCCGGAATCTAATTGAGCTGTTTTTCTGGGCTTTTTCTGGGCTCGGGCTGCTGTCTTTTTGGACACTCTTACGTGAGAGTTCGACATATTTGAGGCTAAAAATCCCATCAATGCCAAAAAAAAGGACATCTGAAAGGAATATCCTAGTACCATTAGAAATCTGAAATTTACAAAATGTATTATTTCGAATTATTTGATCAAAGATCAAGGGATGTGAAGATAAAAACCTGTCGAATTTCCATGAGGTGTTTTAAGCCCCTTAAGGTATGGCAATACGTACTTATAGTGTACAGGCCTTTGCCCCTTCTGTTTGCAAATCAATAAATAAATAAAAATCTACGATATCATCCTGTTCTTTGAATTTTTTTTAACTTCCAAAATAGAAAATAGAACTTAAAAATGTATGGGAAAGTAAAATTTGTAACCAGGAGACTGCATCCATAGGCAAAACTAAGTCAAATTCTATAAGCAATAACGAAGAAAAAAAGTGTGAACTCGTGGTCCATTGTACAACTCAACTATCTACAAAGCCGAAACCTACATATGGTATACGGGTGGATTTTCTTTTTCTGCTTTTTCTGGGTTGGATTTTTGTATAATAACAGGAAGGTAAACACCTCAGAGGGCATAATCGATGAGGCTGACATTATGTGAGGTAGACTTCATCACCAGCTGTCCATTATCATCATACCGGTCAAGATTTTTGCACGGTGCGGGAAAAATAGAGCCAAAAACACGACCTTCGACATAAGCACATTGAAACACATTATCCTTCTTCTTGTGAAGCTTCATAGTGACGTTTCGAAAGCTGACTCCTCGAATAGGAATATCTTCACTGCCCAATATTTGGACAGGAATTCGTACATCCTTGCCATAAATCCCTGTGAAAGACAGGTTCTCAACATTTGGGATGGCAGCACGATCGTATTCTTCATCAGGGTGTTGATTGTAATCAGTAACTAGCACAATTCCATGCATGGTATTGTCAATGGTGACGTTGTTGTAGGTGATATTACGAATGTAGCCGCCTCTCCCTGGAGCAGTTTTTATTCTGATGGCTCGTCTTGAGTCCCAGACATGAATGTTTTCAACAGTGACGTTTTCAACGCCACCAGACATCTCGCTGCCTATGGATATTCCTGCACTGCATGATAGCACTTGTTTTACTGTACGAGTTAATGGCAATAATGAAGAATTGACAACCCAGAAAACTCCAACAGAAATCAGTAAACGAAGATTGGGGTATAATAGGACTTGGAAATGTCATGACCCATTTGTTACAGGAAAGATTATGTATGATTTGGCAACTTTTCTCCTATGTTCCTTATGGTAGAAAAAGTTTGATAGAATGATCATCATTCCATGAACCATAAAACACTAAGCACGAAGGTAGAGTTATTGGTTAGTGATACTACATAGTCTAGTAGAAATGTTCAATCATACTCTGTGGGCTACTGTTCACTCTCTTCTTGTGGATGGTCATCCTGGCAGGATTTTATACCATGATCTTGAACCATTTTGAAATGGGTCAGTGCTACTTTCAAGTTAGCGGTAAAAAAAGAAGCTAAAAGAAAAATCCTCATCTTTGATTCATGCTCGAAAGAGACATAATCTTGATAGGAAAAGGTCTGGACTATAATGATAAACCCTCTTCATAAAGGTATCACTGACATTGGGCAGCTATCATACAGGATGGTGAATTCCTGTATGTTGAAGCATAAACATCTGCCAAAATTTTAAGATCATTAAACATGGAGAAAAGAAACATAAAGTAAATCTATCAAGCATGTCACTAGGATAAAGTATGCAACATTATAGGATAAGAAAAACAAAAGAGAACTACCTACCTCACAGTGGAGCGAAGAGTGAGATTGCGGATGACAATGTTGGAAGATGGTCGGCCATATCTGATTCCATATTGATCCCAACCACTCTTAATTGCTATTCCGTCATCCCCTACAGCTATGTAACAATTCTCTATCAGCATGTCCTCGCAAGAATCTGCAGTCAAGATATCCACATATTTAGATAGGCTCAGGGATTCAGAGGCGTTATTAAGTAAACATAAATCAGACAAAGAATAATCGGTAGATGCTATTGATCAGCTTCCTGAAAATAACACACTATTGACTAGCATCCCGTATGTTGACCTGATTTTTTTCGACAAGGGTAGCAAAGTTATGAAAAGTGAAACCTAAATGAGAGTCAGTTTTATAATGATCCAATACTTTCTATTATGCTGTAATACATGTTTTAACCTTAAACTACTTATAAAAGGCAAAATCAAACTATCGGACAAGAGATGAGAAGCACAAGGTGCTTATGATGTGACCATTCTTTGTTAACCTTAAGCAATTAAGCACATTAGAAGGCAAGATCCACGAGGCTAAACCTTAGCCATAAGGCGTGTGAACAGGGGAAGCTGAAATTTACCTGGATCTATTCCGTCGGTGTTTGGGGCTGCGGTAACTGGCGCCAGGATGGTAACGTTTGAAACAGTCACGTTCTTGCAGTCATAAGGATGAAGATTCCAGAATGGAGAATTGCGTAGAGTGATGTTTGAGATTACTATGTCCCTTGACCACATGAACTGCACAAGCGGCCCTCTTGTATTATTAAGGGCTCTTTGTTTGAATCTTGTCCACCACACTTGACCTTGACCATCTATGGTACCATTGTTACCTGCACAACAAGTGAAAAGTTATTTGTTCTATACGTATAAAATCCCAAAGTAGTAGAATCCTAGATATGCAGAATGGTAATAAAAATAGACATAAGATGACCCATGATTTACTTCATCTGTACCGTTATCTATTCAAGTCTTAATTGTTACAACTAGATCGCAAGTTCTAATTATCCACCTGCAGAGAGAGATCAGCAAGAGATTAAATCAACCCAAGTAACTTAAAATGTTTCATTTTTCTTGCATGTATTTGAGTTTCTTACAGTTGAGAAAGATACATGTACTGATAATAACTTCATAATATTACCCTACTTTCACCAACTAAGAGATTCCACCATCAGAGACAAGGTATTAGTAAATATCAAAGAAGAGACTCAAACTCCATTGATAAGATATTCTGGTATAAGTGGTTCCTGTGTAAGGAGACAATGAGGATGATTAGCCTATCATTCAATGTAAAAAAAGATCAGACCAGTAAATTTTCTATCAATGTTCTATTGCAACACCATCTGATGTAACCAAGAAATAGAAGAGCACAAGTTCTTTTCTCCTATTCTGACTTACGCAATGATGCTCGCACATTGTTGCTCTTGAAAATTAGATCCATTCAAAATGTAAATAAACATGGATAGCAACCTTTATATAATCATGCGAAGTCTTTTTACCATATCTTAAAAAGAGAAGGGGGGATTAAAATTAAGGTTTATGGTACATTGGATTCAATGTAATAATTCAGCTACAGTCATGTTATAGGTTAGAAGTTCAAAGAAATTATTGATAAAAAATAGTTGATTGAGATAAGGATGCTAAGCAGATACGATAGAGTCTATTATATTGGACTGCATGAAAAATGATAAAGAAATTAATCCAAATAATCATTCAACCATCTTATCAACTATTTTCCACTTTATCAGATTTCAGCTATGGATCTAATAAAGAGTGATTGTCAGCTTTCAATTTGTGGGCTTGTCGTCTTTAAAATTTATGTTAAGTTTTTCAGTTGTTCTATGAAATAACAGAGTATCCACAAACCTTTCATTCATTTGTTTCTTTGTTTTATTCTCCATCAAATTACACCATCAAGCTTCCCGTTCTTTAATACTTTAAATCCCATTCTACTAATTGTTAACAGTTGACAGTGCTGGTATCATTTAGTTTCAGACAGATCACATAAAAATATCTTAAATCTGACATGATACATATGATATATTGATATGAGTCAATTCTGTAGAATTGGCAAATAGTTCAGGTTTCAGCAGAATTGGGTGGCGGTCGACCGGCGCGGTCGACCGCATTCGTGCACGAGGCTTACTGGGCTTCGGTGTTGGTGGCGGTCGACCGGCGCGGTCGACCGCAGATGTTTCTGCTCTGGTGGCGGTCGACCGGCGCTGTCGACCGCCTTCCTATAAATACCCAAAGGGGTGTTTCTAGGGTTCGGAGGCTGAAGTTTGAGATCTGAAGGGAGAGTTTTATTAGGCTTCTATTGTTGGAGCAATTGGTGAGATCAAGAGTGAGTTGTTGTGGGTTTTTGGTGAGAGATTTGTAACCCTAATTGTATCCTCTTGTTTCTAATAGTGAAAACTCCCCTCTCCTTGCCCCGTGGACGTAGGCATCTTGCCGAACCACATAAAACTGGTGTTAGTGATTGTTTATGCTTGTTGGTGTGTTGGTTTATCTTTTTTTGGCGATTGGTTTGGATTCTCGAGGCACAACAAGTGGTATCAGAGCTCCGGGCAACGCTTGGGCTTTTTGGAGGTATAGATCAGTTGAGAAGTTCATCTAGAGCTTCGATTGGTGATAAAGGTGGGATCTTTGTGGTAAAGTTTCTATCTTTTTCAAGTTGGATCTATTTTCTTGTTTGTTCCGTAATTGTTTGGGTACTTTGAGATTATGACCGGAAAGGATAAACATGGGGAGGGTTCTTCTAGTGTGAAGGTCGTCCAAAGTTTGAATATACACTCCTTGAAAATTGATGTGGAAAAGTTCAACGGCATAAATAATTTTGGACTTTGGAGATGCGAAGTCATGGATGCGCTAAATGCGCAAAATTTGGAAGATACGTTAGAGTTGGACGGGAAACCGGACAACATGGATGATAAGGTTTGGAATAAAATGAACAGAACGGCGTGTGGTGTGATTAGGTCTTGCCTTACCCAAGATCTAAAATATGATGTGATGAATGAAACTTCGGCAAAGAAGATTTGGGAGGTCCTAGAGGGCAAATATTTGACGAAAAGCGTCGAAAATCGTTTGCATTTGAAGAGGAGACTCTATCGCTTCCAATTGAAGAATGAGACATCCATTAGTGATCACATGAACCACTACACGAAGCTACTTGCAGATTTGGCGAACGTAGATGTTATTGTTGAAGATGAGGATAAAGCATTGTTGTTATTGAGTTCCTTGCCCGACGAGGAATATGAGACCTTCGTCCTCACTCTTATTAATGGGAAGGCATCTCTTTCGTATAGTGAGGTCACCGCAGCCCTTGTGAACTATCAACTTCGAAAGAAGGACAAGCAGACTTCCATTGAGCCGGTTGCGGGGGCATTGGTTGCAAGAGCTAAAGGTCCAAACCGTAGAAGAAGGTCGCAGTCTAGAGGGGGACATCCTGCAGTTGGTAGGAATCAGTGTGTCTTTTGTAGAGAGGATGGACATTGGAAAGCCGAATGCCCAAAATTGCAAGCCGTGAAGAATAAAGGGAAAGCTATTCAAGCTTCAAAGGTAAATGTTGCCAAGGCTAGTGGCGATGTTTCAGATTCAGATTCTTCAGGCTATTCGTGCCCAACTCTTCCGTCAGTTGATGTTGCCGACTCCACCGAGTGGATGTTGGATTCTGGTGCTACGTACCTCATATGCCCTAGAAGGGATTGGTTCTCCAGCTTTCAGGAGCTGGAAAGAGGGGATGCTGTTCTCATGGGTAATGATCACAGATGCCCTATTGGTGGTATTGGTATCGTTCGGATTCGGATGAGTGATGGGATGATCCAGGAGTTGGCTGATGTGAGGTTCGTTCCTCAACTGAGGAAGAACATCATTTCACTTGGGGTATTGAAGGCAGCAGGCTATAGGGTGACTTTGGCGGATTCTCGCTTGAAGGTCACATCGGGGTCCATGATTGTGATGAAGGGAGTCAGACGGAGTAACTTGTATTATCTGCTTGGGAGCACGGTAGTTGATAGGGCGCTGACTACTTCTATGGCTAGACTGTGGCATTGTTTGGTGCTGGGATATATTGTTGGTTATACCGTGCACAGATTGTTGAAGAGTGTTATGACCTGCAGATTAAAGTCCTGTGAGCACATTGGGATGAGCGAGGAGACCGAGGTGGAGTTCAGCACTTCTATCCACCGATCGAGGGGTCTTATTGGAGGTGTTCAGTCAGGCATTGGGGGGCCTTCCATGTATGCATCAGTGGGAGGTAATCGTTATTTTGTTTCCTATGTTGAGGATTGTACTAGGCATATTTGGGTTGCAACCAAGTTCCGTTGGTATAAAGCCCTAGTAGTCCGTAACAGTTGGAGGAGATGTATGGGCAGAAAGGTTACCAGTCGTACTTGTTCTAGTAGGAGTCCTTTCTTGCATTGGTGCCGAGCTCATGGCAGTTGGAGATACTTCAGAGGGGGGAGACAGTGGGGCGACATGATGAGATGGCGGATTTAGTGAGCCATTCTTTTCTGGAGGAGGATCGGCATTAGTTGTCAAGCAGTGGATCTGGTATTCAGGCTTCGACAGGTTTGGGTCATCTTACGAGGTTGCTGACTGCTGCGTATAGAGTTGTTAGATCTGGTGGAGCTGTTTCAGATTTTGGTTGGCGTCGGATATTGGGCTACCCAGCACTTGGTCACATCGTGGATGTGAGATTGGATTCGATTGCACATTTGGGATTCAGAGGCTCATTCGGCTATCAGTGGGGAGCTTCTGAGTTTGGTCTGAACAGGTTTGTCACTTTGGACTCTCGGCAGGTGGAGAGTATTGATCAGGTCAGAGGGATATCACAGCGGGTGGAGGTTGATGCTACTCCACATTGGGTGGAGCTTACTCCACATACTCCAGGTCATTCTGCATTGGTTGGGATTCCAGCTGAGGTGGCACAGCGTGGGAGTCATTTATTTATGGGTGCAGATGATGAGGTAGTTGATTTGGATGCAGCTGATGGATATGTTTTGGATACGGCCATTATTTCATCTCAGGTGGAGGTGTTGAACTGTTTTCAGATTGGGGTCGTTTATGATGCTATCAGCCGCAGGTTGGATTGAGGACCTTTGGAGGCCATTGGGTGAACTACGTGAAGGCTTGATTCCTTGGAGAGGATACGTAGGCAGTCAGTTTTCCGATGCAGCCGATTTGGTGAGTAGACACAGTTGTTTTGGGGTTGAGTGTTCGCACTCCCGTTTGGGTCTCGACGTGTTGTGATTGGGGTCCGTTGTCATGAGTCCGTTGCCATGGCGTACTGGATGCAGCAGTTGAGGTATTGGTTTGGTTGGTGTCGGCTCAGTTTTTGGTAGAATCTTCGTCGATGTGGAAATTTGTAGAATTGGCAAATAGTTCAGGTTTCAGCAGAATTGGGTGGCGGTCGACCGGCGCGGTCGACCGCATTCGTGCACGAGGCTTACTGGGCTTCGGTGTTGGTGGCCGGTCGACCGCCGAAGCGGGTTGAGTCTGGGTCTGTTTTCCAGACTCGTTTCGTTTGGGTTTCCTATAAATACCCAAAGGGGTGTTTCTAGGGTTCGGAGGCTGAAGTTTGAGATCTGAAGGGAGAGTTTTATTGGGCTTCTATTGTTGGAGCAATTGGTGAGATCAAGAGTGAGTTGTTGTGGGTTTTTGGTGAGAGATTTGTAACTCTAGTTGTATCCTCTTGTTTCTAATAGTGAAAACTCCCCTCTCTTTGCCCCGTGGACGTAGGCATCTTGCCGAACCACGTAAAACTGGTGTTAGTGATTGTTTATGCTTGTTGGTGTGTTGGTTTATCTTTTCTTAGCGATTGGTTTGGATTCTCGAGGCACAACAAATTCTTCATGCCTTGGTCCGGTTGTATCCACTGGTTTACGAGTATGAACAGTTAATGTACAAACTGTTAAGAGTAGATAATTCGATTGCACATGAGGTCAGAACCAAACAAGGACCTGGAACTTCCAGAATAGCAACTCAGCAACTCTGATATTGACAATCCACCTTAATTCTATTTCTTCATGATTGAGGACAACTTCTCGAAAGTTGGTTCGCACATAAGGTAAAAGGCGCAAGAAACAAAATAAATGATGCCAAAAAATAAAATGGTAACCTGTTATAACGACATCTTGAAGATTTTGCCCATGAATTAGACTTCCAAATCGAGGGCCATCGTGCTCCCTCCCAACACCATATGATGGTAATGGAGGCATCAATTGCCATTTTTCCTCATCCTGTCATAATGCACAAAATAAATAACTGTAGCATTGTTTGCATTTACCCTGAAAATCTTCTCACGCGTAAACAGTTGGCTTGCAATATCGTATTTGACGGTTTCCAATAATTTTTTGTTTCAGGAAATTTTTAAGCAGAAAAAGAAGTTTGGGCATGTTGAACGCGCTTTTCAAATTTTATATAAAGTTTTAAGGGGCCAACCGGTGGAGACCGTATATTACCTCATCTAATGCAAAGCAATCACTGGATAATTCCCAAATAATTCAAAAAAAATTCTGGTTTAGCTGCAGTTTAATACCCTCGAGTCACCAATTTTAACTTCGATACCCTGAAGTTTAAATTTGCCCAAAACCATCCCTAAAATTTACCAATTTTAATACTTTCCGTTATATCACCGTTCAAAAATTTGTTCAAAACTCATGAATCTTTCTAGCTATTTAACCCTGAACCCTTTGAAATGAAAAGTTATAAATCCATTTGTTTACTTCCCCAGATTCAAATGACTAAATATAACCCTTTTTAACGATATTCACAGCCAAAACAGAGAATTCAACATGCAGAATGTTATGCCTTTTTCTAGGCAAATTTAAGCTTCAGACATCAAAGTTTAAAAAAAAAAAAAAAAAAAACTTTTCAAACTCCGAATCCGAACTCTTTACGGTGACAAGCGAGATCTGAGTTAGCGCTCACCGTGTTTCCGAGAATGACAGCGTCTTTATCAAGAAAGAGAGTCATATGGCTGGTCAGATTGAACGCCCCCGTCAGCAACCCCGCTGCCAACGCTCAAGCTGTCCCATCCCCCTCTCCTCTCTGATCGCCGCCACCGCCGCCTCGAACGCCTCCGTGTTATCCGTCATCCCGTCTCCGACCCCTCCAAACTCCTTCAAATCGAAGTTCGCCCTCGGCAGCGGGACCAACTTGAGGATCCCGACGCGGACCCTCGCATAATTAGGGCGCCAGCTTGGGCGCCAATAGAAAGCAGACGCAAAGGTCAGAGCCCAGAGGAGGAACATCGCCATCGGGAACGATCCGGAATCGCCGCCGCGGCCGAGATAAGTCTCGATCATGGTCGCGGTCTGCAAACAGGGGCTTGCTCTCTCTCTCTCTCTCTCTCTCTCTCTCTGATCGCAATTGGATCGAGATATTGGAGAAAAGGTGGGGGTTTTGGTCGCGTGTCGTTTTTTAAAAAAGGCGGGACTTCGAGGAGTGGATCATAAGATATCTGGGCGCGGGGTTAGCGGAGAATTCGTGTTTATCTAGAACTGGGTTGCGTGGCGCATATCTATTGGCCAGGGAGCTTTTTCCTCTCTTTATTAAATCGCAGTTAAAGATTTAAATGGTTTTGGTTATTGAGCGCTCGGTTGGTGGAGGGGATTTAGTGAGATTGTAGGTGAGGGGAGGCTTTTAGTAGATGGAGAGGAGCATCAAAATAGTTGATACGTCAAACGCATCAAAGTTTGGAGAAAGGAACAAAGGTGAGAGAGATTGATTGGAGAGGGTTTTGGCTGGTTTTAGTGAAGTTAGTAAGGGGTGTTTGTTTCAAATCCTATAATTTTAGGATATGGATTTCACCGTGGGATTTGAAATCCATAGGTTATTTGTTATGGGTTGTGATTCCTAAAACTTTGTTTGTTTCAATAATATTTTGATATTTGGAATACTATAATTTGTAATGTTTTTGTTTGTTTCAAACTTTTTTAGAATTTGAAATCCTTAATTTGTATAAAGCTTTTGAAATCCACCCCACATCCCACATGAAAAAGAGGATTTTACAAATCCTTAAATATGTTATTTTTTTATTATTTGGGGATTTAATATCCTAAAACTTATTTTGAAACAAACATGTTTTACGGAATTCTAAAACCCCAAAAAACCTCTTTATACATCCCAAAACTTGAAATCCACACCATATCCTAAAAAAAATGAAACAAACACCCCATAAATATAGTTTGGTGAATAGAAGTGATTGACGGTTATATTTGGGGTTATAAACCCCTTTAGTTGCCGCGATCCGTCAATAAATAAAGGATCCAAATGCAAAAGAGAGTTGGAGACTGAGTTAGGAACTTTGTTTGTGACAGATGAGATCAAGGTCACGTCAAGTTCTTGATCTTTTAGACATTTAAGGAGCTGTTTCCCTAGAAAGATTTTTTTTGGAAAATGCCCCAGGGACCCCAAATAGGGGACCCTGGGGTGGGACAGGTGAGGTATCAGCTTGGGAGGGTGTGATACACTGTTCATGAACAGTGTATCACACCCTCCCAAGCTGACACCTCACCTGTCCCACCACAGGGTCCCCTATTTGGGGTCCCTGTAGCAGGACTCCTTTTTTTTATTTTAATTTTTGGACCACTCCGTCCGAAATCAAATCCAAGAGACCATTGTAGCTATCAGAATTCTACAAAGTCAATAGTTTTGGAGGTTTTTTGCTTTTAATTATTTGGTTGGATGGAAATTAAATTGGATAAAAAGTTGAAACTAAAGACTCATTTCTCTCTCTACTAAAACACGCTAGTTAAGACGGGAATTTTTACATTTCAGAAAACGGGCTTCAGGAAGTTTTTTGGCTCCTTTCTTTCCCGATTGAGAGGGTATGCAAGTTACTTATATCAAACCTGTTTTGCTCTGATATCACTTGTTGTGTCAACCGATGATATGCTCGGATACCACTTGTTGGGCTTTGCGCTCGAGAACAAAACCAAACGCAAAGAGAGAAGGACAAAATACAATCACAATAATGGTACAAACACAAACAACTAATTTTACGTGGTTCGACAATCTTGCCTACGTCCACAGGAGCGGCACAAATAATTTATTATTAATCACAAGAAATTACAAATAAGAGAGAAGATCTCAAACTTGTGATCTCTCAAATCAACAGCATTGTTTTAAACTTAAAACACTGTTCAAATCTCTCTTCAACTCTCTCTCTTAATTACTCAAAGAAAACCCCATTTAATTCACCAAACCCCTTTCTCCTCAATTAATGAGTACGGGACAATTTTAGGGCTTCACAAATCGGAGAGTCCCCAAATCGAAGCTGAATATCGCAGAGGAAAAACATCGCTGCCGTTCTTCTCTAATATGGTTGGTTGTGCAAAGTCTAACGTAAGTAGGACTCTTGATTAAAACAAACCAAGCCATAAAAAGAACTCTCAAAGCAATATGGATTTGAGTATTTAAGGCAACCTATAACAAATCTCCACCTTGACTCAAATGCATAGAAGATCTATCACTCCAAAATAAGCTAACTTACTCCACCTTTTCCAATAGCCCCGTAGGGCATCTAAGTGCAGCACGTATCAATCAAGTCCAAGCCCGGCTTGAACTTGCTAACTGAAAGAGGCCTCCTCAACAAATCGACTGAATTGTCCGCACGACGACTGTAAATATTAGCAAAGTCATCATCTGAAGTATCTTCTGAATAGCTGAAGGGCACAAAATTGTCAACCGACAATGCATAAGCTACCGTATCTTCATATCTTCACGGTGGTCGGATATCTCGTCTAGACCAATCTCTAGCAATAGTGTATTCTTGCTCTTCATGCAGCTGCTGAGGTGTTTCATCTACTTGAACATGATCTGGTTGCTGAACTCCCATAGTCTTATCCTACTGAAGAGCTAAATCACGAATTTCTAACTCCACCTTATGTCATGTAGTCTGCGCCTTATCAACAACTAAAACCGATGATCGTATCTGGTGGAACATAGCAGATTCATCAAAAGTAACATCACGGCTAATAATAATCTTAGGAGATTTCGAATCAGGACAACACAACCTAAAACCCTTAACACCCGATGCATAACCTAGGAATATGCACTTCTTCGCTCGCGTTTCAAGTTTCCCTTAACTAACATGCACATATGCAGGACAACCAAATATTCTAAGATAAGAATAATCCACAGGCTTACCGGACCAAACCTCCTCTAGAGTTTTTACAACTAATAGCAGCAGATGGCGACCGATTCACTAAGTAACAAGCCATATTCACTGCTTCTGCCCAGTATTCCTTGCCTAAACCTACATTGAACATCATACAACGAGCTTTCTCTAATAGGATTATGTTCATACGTTCTGCCACTCTATTCTGTTGCGACATGCGAGGGACTGTACGATGTCTAACGATTCCCTTCTTCTTACAGAACTCATTAAATTCTCCTCCATAAAACTCAATGTCATTATCAGTTCTAAGCATCTTAATCTGCTTCCCAGTCTGCTTCTCAATCAAAGACTTTTACTACTTAAAAGTGACAAACACCTCATATTTATGTCTCAAAAACTAGACTCAAACCTTCCTGGAGTAGTCATCAATGGAGGTCAACAAATATCTAGAACTACTACCCTTTAATGCAACTTGAGAAGGTCCACAAATATCTGAATGGATATAATCTAAAGTACATTTAGTCTGATTCACTGCCGTACTGAAGCTGGCTCTTTTCTGCTTCCCAAAGATGTAATGCTCGCAGAATCCTAATTTTTCTGTACTCTGTCCACATAAAAGACCCTTCTTACTCAACTCGGTCAATCCGCGCTCACTCATATGACCAAGTCTCATATGTCATAATCTGGTAGTATCAACTCCTGACATCGACGATGCAACTGTAGTCGAGTCGGTAACGGCAGAACCTTACAAAACATACAAGCTGCCGATCTTCTTTCCTTTTATAACCACAAGAGAGCCTTTTGTAACCCAAAGAACTCCACCTTCCACTAAAAAATTGCACCCAATGCTATCAAGAGTGCCCAAAGAGATGAGATTTTTCCTTAAACCTGAAACATGCCTAATATCTGTCAAAGTCCTGATGACTCCATCATGCAACTTAATCTGAATTGTGCCTTTTCTAATAGTCTTGCATGAGGCATTGTTCTCCATAAGAACATCTCCACCATCAATAACTTCATAAGTGGTGAACCAATCCCGATTAGGACACATATCATAGGAATAACCTGAATCCAAAATCCATTCATTCATGCTCATGTTTATATCATCCGTAGTCAACAAAATCACATCTTCAGCAATATCAACTTTAGCGGAGTTCTCCTTTGATTTTTCTTCATACTCTTCTTGTTTATTTTTGTTCTTTAATCTGTAACAATCGATCTTGATGTGCCCTTTCTTCTTGCAATATCTGTAGGTCAGATTCCTGCGACTTATACATGTCACCTCCAAAGCCCCTTTCTTCC